ACACGGGCAACTTAGAACGCCCACACCAGCTGCGGTTAAAAAGCGCAGAGTTCCTTATATTAGGATACCCAACCCCATATCCTCTATATAATCGGGGGGGTTGGGTACTCCCATAAAACGTTTCATGAGACCCCCCTTAGGGGGACTCAGGAATTGATTTGGTAGAGAATGTTGCTTTTTGCAAGCTGGTTGTCAGTTTCAGTTCAGAATTTGAACACACTGCATGCACTGGCGGCCAGAGCAAAAGAAGAAACATGAGATAGGATTGCTTGAACAGAATGTTCCAATAGAGCGAAGAGCGAACTTATTTTCTTAAGATGCTAAACTTGTGTCACTAACGGAGTGTATTGATGTAGTTCCTCATTTTTGGAAGCCTTGTGTACTAGTGTTTTTGGACCTTTGATGGACACATATGGACACTTTTGGGTGATTTTAGGATGTCACCCACAGTCAAAACATAGAGAAAAAATAAGGAATGATCATTTTATAGAAGGAACATCTTTGCGCATGTTGGACCCACCATTTTATCTCTATAAAATGGCTAGCAAGACACCCTCACCCATATGGTGATGGGTATATATTAGGTCTGTGTGTGTCTGCAAGTGGCGGCTTGAGGGGACCATCGGGTGGCTATTCCAGTTGTAGGGAGTCTTTGGGTAAGGGCCCTGTGTGGGGTTCACTTGTTGTCCATACTTGTTTATTGTTTTTTGTTGGGTGCAATGTGGTCGGGAACACGTTTTTCAGTAATCGTTTAAAAACACACTGTACTATAATTTAGTGTCTTTATGTGTTTTTAAATGTCAAGTGTACAAAGAACCACTGGTATGTAGCAAGATGCCGTATAAGGACCCGCACAGCAGGGTCAAAGATAGTTCAGGACCCACCGCTCAAACACTGGCCAGGAACAGGCCAAAAGTTATGTCATGTTGTTGATGCAACGCATCCTGCTTGTGGGGGACACTGAATCCCTTAGTGTTGGTGCGGTGCGTCATTGTGGTCCCCATCATGGCTGCTTCCCTGTAATTAGTGTTGTTGTGTCACTGTGGCCCCCATCATTGTGCCGTAAAGTCGTTGTGCTTCCAAATTGAACTCATGTTGTATTTCAAGCCATCTCGTCAAGTGCTGTCCTCTCAAGACATCCGCGCTGAGCCCAGGTGGGCTTTGGGGTTGCTTCCTTGCCACCTCAGCCAGTGGTGCCCTGGAGAAGTGCATCAAGTGGACCATGAGATCATCAAAGTGGATGATTTTCGTTTTGTGGTCGCACCTCCCTCCGCTTTGCACAGGGAAACCGGCGGCCCCTTATGACCTTTTTCAGGCCAGACCCAAAACGGCCCCGGTCGGATCCCCGGCCGAGGTCCTGAAGAAGGTGACGGCCAACAGCTGGGCCTCACAACAAGACCTCAGCACGGGCGACGTGCTACTGGAGCTGATGCCTGGTGGACAAGGGGCGGGGCGGAGTCCGCCTGCGTGAGCTACGTAGCGTAGGGCAGATGGGGCGTTCGGGTTGTGAATTGTACAAGTTATGGAAGGTTTGGTGTAAGGACGTGCATTGGATCAGACCATGTGCTGGGTGTAATGCAATGGACAAAAGGCCATAATTGTATACGATTGACCCTTGGCCCCGAAGCCCTTTCAAAGGGCACCCATGGAGAAGCATTGGAGGTTGTTCTCGGGAGTTTTGGGTAGACAATTTCTTGTGCAAGGATCCAACATGATCCAGCCATGTAAAAGACGGGCAGGAAGAGGTGAATCAAAAACAGTATACTGTAGATTTTGCTTGGGCACATCCCTTCGTGAGCAAATGCCTATTGATAGACACGGAGTGCATGCGTGTAAGCATACTGGGCTCATCCGACACTGTTTGCATTTGTTGTAATGTGACATTTCTAGCACTCCCCGAAGAAAGATCGCGTTTGCAGATGCTGCCATGCTCGTTTGTAACTATTCGTTTGTTTGGCTTGTTGGATGCATAGGGAGATTCTTCCTGATTCTGGATTCAGGGTTTCAGACGAGCACCTGCCATAGAAGACAAAGCTTTGATGCGCATCCGGTGGATGGCCATGCTAGCTGCTGCTAGAGTGTGTCAGATCATCAAATACCTGGGTGGTGATTTCAGAGTTTCAGATATTTATAAGAAAGGGACCCAAACACCACACACTCGTAGTTTTCTTCAACCCTTTTTATGATTTAGAGTTTCAACCCTTTCTTGGGATGAGTGAACCCACACACGGCTCCAACCTGTTCTTCACCCGGCCGAGGAACGGCGTGCAGATGAGTGCCGAATCGCAAGAATCGGATGGGAGGACCGTCGCACGAGTCGCATGGTGTATGGGTGACCCCTCAAGGTGGGTATGGAAGATCGAAGCCAATGTTCTTTTGTTCTTACTGGGCGTTTCTGTGATGCTGGGGGTGCAGTGCCAAGAGGATCACAAAGCCGCGTGAGACAGCTACTGATTCAACTCGCAATATGATGCCTTCCAAGGGCTGAACCTGCCTTGCACCGTGCATTGGCCAAATACCGCGCTTCGACTCGGGAAGGTGCTGGAGGGGCGAGGTTGCACTAATAAGAAACCTGTGATCTGTGTGGGGGGAAGCGAATTCCTGAAGCCTTCCGGATGGAACAAGAACTGGTGGGCTCGGCACGGCATGAAGGGCACTCAACTGGTCGCCGGAGTTTGCCAGCGGACTCTGTTTGCCAGCGGACGAGCAATCGCTCAGGTGAGCTGTCAACGCAGCAATTCCTCAACCTCATGCAGACTCGGCCCTTATGCTTCAAGTTTATCATCAATCCACTGAAGTCCTCGCGCGTTCGGATGCGCGAGGATGAGGGTCTGGAGCCCCAGGCTGGAGGTGAACAGGGCCAAGCACAAGGCCCCAAGGACTGTGGGTTCTCAAAATTTGACCCCCCTTGTGGATGAAGCAGTCAGTTTTTTTGGTTGGACGGGTGGAAAGCCAGACCAGGTGCTGTTCGATGTTGCCTTTTCGGTGTAGATCCAAGGGAGCATGCCTGGCTGCTTGGCGTTCTGAGATGACGCTGAAGCGCCTAGAGATTTGTCCCGATCCCCAAGTTCCGATTCCGCTCCCATTCCCACCAGCTTGGCAAACCCGCTAGCTCTCGAATTCTGCCGCAACTGCCCCTATTTTGATATGGATCGAGGCTCACGGCTGTGAACAACTGAGGCACGAGCGTGGCGTCCAGCCGATCACCTTCGGCGTCGAGCAGCGTGCAGGACGAGAAGGAGGACGAGGAGCTGCTGAGCGGATCGTTGCTTCTCGCGGTGAATCTTCAATGCGCCATGAAGACTAAGGATCTTCCAGGGGTTTGTAAGAGCTCCATGCAATTCATTCGAGGTTTTATGGAGAACGAGTTGTATTTGTTGGTCTTTTGGTCCATCAGGGCAAACTGTTGTTAGGCGTGCCTCTGCCAAAAATCAACATGGCGCTCATAGTCAGTGTGCCATAAACAAATGATGACACACGCTTAGGAGGATGTTTACCAACTTCCCTTGATTTGTTGTTAAGCTGCTGCTACATGGCTTTTGGAGGTGTTCCACATGTCATTGCAGTGGTTTCGAGTAGATTGCAATCCCCAAAAGGTAATTTATACTTTAAATATTATATATATTCTTCGTTTGCCATCTAAAAGATCTAAAATACATTTTGGGTTCGTGTCATCTACTTTAAGGCCACTGTATGTTTTTTCATAAGTCACTACATCCCTAAGCCAAGCTAGCCAGCTGAACATGCGACGGATGTTTGCTGTGTAGCTGGGTGTGGCTGGTGTTGGACACCAACATTGTGAGGTGTTTCAATGGGATGTGTCCCATTACCTGTAACCGTCGGTCAACAATTCACATCCAGGATCATCCATTATCACTATTTTTTAGAGAAAGGCCTGCAACCAGGCCCCATCATCCACTGCGCCCTAGGTGCCTGGGATACCTGGTAACCTGCAAGCCGACACAACACCAGACCTTGAGACCTTTGAAGCAGTCGGTGCAAGGCGAACCCCGCCATAAATCGGTTTGTGACGCGTCGAGCGCGACCGCGTGAGCATGTTGCTCGGGTCACTGGGGTCGCTGGCAAGGGCCCATTGCATTGGAAAATGTTGGAATTCTCAGCTGACTCAGCTGGGCTTGGCAAAGGGCTGACCATTTTCAACATGGCTTTGCAGGACTTGCAGGCGACATCAAGACATAGCCTTTCAGATTGGTACGCGCAAGAGGACAGCTGCACAGTGCGAGGGGATGGCGTTAGCTCGATCTGCGTGTATACGTTACTGTGTTTTTTTACATCATCTCTCGCTACTCAGCGAGATGGCTTTGCAAGGCACCAAGTTGATCGATGGTGTCCGGCATGGTTGCGCTTTGTTGTTATGTTCTTGTGCCCCAGGCATTGATCCTTCAGTGCCGCGTTGTTTTTTGCCCCAAGAACCTCCAAACTAGGTTGGACCGTTTCTTGGTCCAGTCTTGCAACATGGTCAGTCACCTCCCTTCAGTCAACATGGCCTGTAGACAAAGACCCGATTTGAAGCCGAATGGTTCGGTTCAGTTGCCAGGATGGACCCTCACCCCGGAAGGCTGGGAAGTGCGCACCCGAAAAAGCCGGGTTGGACGGGTCTGGAAGGGAGAAAACTGCAATTTGGAGGACATGTTGGAATCACCTGTGGGACTTGCACTTGTTGGGGATCGAACGTCAGATGGCTTTGAATACATTTTCTTTGGCAGACAGATCTAGCTTTGGAAGCATTTTCCAGTCCTTCCTTGAGGCTCCTCCAACCCCACTTGAATGCATCCTCGGGTGACGGTGAGTTTCCCACGGTCATAGCCTTCCCACCGAGGTTCCTGGGCTGAAAGGAGAGTGGAATTCCACTGGTTTGGGTTCCTTCGCCTCCCAGGCCTCTGCATTGACCACTTGGTTCCTTGACGGCGCTGCCTCTGGGCACTGAACGTTCTTTCAAGAGCTTGTGAGGTTGGAAGGAGCTGAGCTGGAACCAATTCCTTTCCAGGCCTTCCACGGGGGTGGTGGGTTTCGCGTGTTATTTTTACCGGGCACCGTTCGTCTTGAAGAGATGCCGAGACATGCCGAGACAACGAACAAACGTTTTTGCATGTTTTTGCCTCGCGCTGGTCATAAACAGCGCCAGAGTGGGCATGGCCTGTTCGCAGGATGTCGAACACAGTCTTAGACTGCTCGGGCCACCCAACCCCAACTTCCACGGACTCCCATCCCGACCGCAAAAACGCACCGACTCCGCCAAGGAGTTGCCGGACACCGGCTCGCGCCTCACGGCCCGGCATCGGCTGTCGGGTTCGGCCGAGTCAGGCGGATGGACGCGCGAAGCGCAGCGGTGACTGGAATCTTTCCCTGGAAAAAGGTTGGCTGGAAGTATATCACCACCAGTTCAACTGGGTGCGAGTACGGAGTTTTTTCCCAACTCGGTGAAGAGAACTTCATTCTTCGCGAGATGTGATGATTGCGTGCCTGGTTTTTTGCAACAACCAGGTGTTTTGATCTATATTGAATTGTTTACATTATGATTCATAGCTTTGGTAGAATTGGAATGTTGGTGTCCTAATTTTACGCTGATTGCTAGCTTTTGTGTGACTCCACGTGGCACACGCGGCCACCTAGTCGGCCATCTATTGCGACATATATTGCTATTACTGCATACTGACTATATTGTCACAATTGTATACAGCTGCCGTGGGGATGGTGCTTTTTGCGACGGTAACCAGTGTATTTCCAGACGGTTGCATTCATCGGTGTTTTTCCATCCTGTGGCTGGTGTCTTTTGCGACGGAAAGCTGTCCACCGGTGCTTTTTGGATGTTTTCTGCGACGGTAAGCTGTCTATTTTTTGCGTCCGTTGTCACGTCAAAGTCAAGCGGCAGTAAGACATGAAGTTGTAGCAAAAAATCACAACATTCACTGTTCTTGTTCGTTGATGTCGGTGGTGGAGGATTGCTAGTTGGACATGGAACGGGTTGCACTGAGAGCAGTAGTAGTGCTACGTAGTAGTTGTGCTGGTTGTGCTTGCAGTTGTGGTCACGGTGGTGGCGGTCGTGGTGGTGGTTGAGCTTTTAGTAGTCGTCGTGGTAGTCCTAGTGTAGTGGTATTATGTGGTAGTAGTCCCAGTCGTAGTCCTAGTTGGGGCCGTAGACGTGGTCGTCGTCGTCGTAGCAGTAGCAGTAGCAGTAGCAGTGGCAGCAGTAGTAGCAGCAGCAGCAGCTGGAGCAGTAGTAGTAGTAGTCGTCGTCGTCGTAGTAGTAGTAGTAGTCGTAGTGGTAAGTATAGTGTCCACAACAACGAGAAATTTTCTAACTGGGTGAAAGGTGCAAAGCTTACCTTCGGGTTGCACATCTCACGGGTCCCCAAGCGCGCCCTCGGCAGCATTCAAAGTGCGAGTGTTCGTTGTGTTTGGACGGGGCGGGGCGCCCCAAATGGCGATCCAAATGGCTTGTCCCGTCGATCCTCGCCAAACCTCACCGCACAGAGCCAACTATTGCCTGTGCATATCAGACAATCCTGGAAACAATTCGCTCTTGCTTCGTCACACCCTCCTTGACGGATAAATTGCGCCGCACTCGTTGGCAAGCCGACTTGTCGCTGCTTGTACTACACTGGGTCCAAATCAGTACAGACCTGGAGCTTTCCACGTTTGGGGCTGTCCCTGTCTCAGTAGCAAGTAGTAGTCAGCATAGTGAATCAGCGAAACTTAGAACATACTTTTGGACTTGTTGGAGACTCCTGTAAAAATGTTCTAAGTTATAAACTTAGAACATCCAAAAAAAGATAACTTGGAAACAATCGGTATCTTGAAGGTCACTATATATATATATATAACGCTGTGTCCAGCGCGATGTCCCATTCTAGAAGATAAAGCTGAAAACAGCAGATGATAATAGTCATTACAGTAACTCACGCGGTAGACGTTGGAGTGTTGTGTTGCTGGTTTTCTCTGCGGACGTTACCTGAACTTTCTTGAGCTCTGGCTCAAGGGGCTCAAGGGGATCGCGGGCCTTTTAGCTTTGATCTTGCAAACATGGAGAAGCCTCTGCCGGATAACGTGAAATTGCATGGAGAGGAGGGGACACTCAGCACCACCTTTATATAGAAAAACGTGTTGAACAAGTTTGAGCAACCATGCGCAAGTATAGCCTGGTGAGCACCTAACTTAGAACATAGGCATCCAGACTGATTTCCTGCTTTCATCTGGGCATGGGAAAGATGTTGAAAACAGATTCTTCAAGAACCGAAATATATACAATCATGGTTTTGGCCAGGCGTTCTTGGAGCATCATGCACTAAATCAAGCTTGTACGTTTGTGTTTGTGTTGTTGTTGGCTAAAATTCAATTGTTGCAAATCCCGCCAACCCATTCTGGAGCTTGAGCTTAGAACATTGGCTGCTTCTAAGGTTTCAGGTTTGCTTTGATGTTCATACCTGAAAGGTCTTGCTCGAGCATTGTGGTAGTAATTAGTGGAAGTCATGGAGATCACCATTCCTTTGTAGCTTTAAGGGCAGGTCTACTTGAGAGGGGTCCTTGACAAAGTAGGATGCAATCATGGGCAAGTATGACCTGCCTTGTCATTGCGAACACCTGAACTTAGAACATAGGCATCCCAAATGCTTTCATTTGGATCTGGGGAAATGCTGAGAACAGATTTGATATTTTTCAAGAAGGGGTGAAACGTTTTTGGCAAACGTTCTTGGAACATCTTGCACCAAACCAAGGTTGTGTGCTTTTGTTGTTCTTTGCTAAAGTTCAGGCGTTGCAAATTGCACTGACCCATGCTGGAGGTTGAACTTAGAACGTCGGTTCCTACTAAGGTACCGTGTTCGCTTTGGCGCTCATACCTGACAATTCTTGCACACGCACTATCCGAGCGAAGAGGACACAAAAAGCAGCTGCTTTGGTGTACTACGCCAAGGTTGAGGGCTTTGTTGGTAAATTCGATGAGCTGAAGGGAGGTTCCAAGGCAGAGCGTTTCTATCAAGAACCCATGCAGCAACTTGAACATAGAACATGGCTGCCTATATATATATATATCATAATATATCATTATATCTCAAATCTGTAGACCCATAGACTTAGATATCAGATTTGGTACAGCTTGACAAATCCTTTTGTCCAACATCATGATATCATAGTCTTTCTTATTAGTGAGATCAAGCATAGTGGCATAGTAGAACACCGTGATATATGTGCATTTTGGATGTCAAAAACTTAGAACATTGGTGTTGCTGAGCTCAAAACAATGTCCAAAAACGAGTTCACACATTGACAGGCAGCCATCGGGAGGGATTTCATGAACAAGCGTGGTTTCTCGCAGTCAGGAACTTTGGCGAAGCAAAGGGCAGGCATCCTCGACCATCTATCTTCGGGTCTTGTCCGTGACGTGGAGGAGAAGATTGTGGGTTCACTTCTTCTTCCACCGACATTGAAAAGCCATTGTAAGCTCCAGGCTGTGCATGAGGGCACGACAAAGATTGAGGCATCCTTTGGCCCTGAAAATGGTGAGACCATTTCCAAGAAGTTCTCCAACTTGAAGCTGGCATGCGATTGGCTCAACGAACGTGTTGCGCAAAACTCAGGAACTACACCACCGCTACCATCATCTTCGCTTGGTGGCCTCAAACCAGTGGGATCGGAGAGCGTGCCAGAGAAAGCCTTGCAAGACGTCACCGCCAGTTTTCTGTCCAGCGAGCAGCAAGAGGTGAGTGTACCACTTCCGGGTTCCACTGTTTGTCTTCACAAAGGCAGTGTGCATTGGATGTCAAATCGTGGCCGACAATGTCCCGAAACAGTGGCTATTTTTCTGGGCAAGGAAGCCTGGAATGGGAAATTCCACTGTACCAATATGGTCCATTCAGATTCAACGACCATTGCATCTTTGTTGGAGACTGAGGCATTGAAGAAATACTGCAAGATTCACAAAGTTGTACCATGCGGAGCATTTACAACTTCCAAAGGAGATGCAAGCGCAGACAAGGCCATGGAGGTCTTGAAACCTTTGGGCGGAAACTTCAACACTCCTTTTCTTCTCCAAGTTGATTTGCAGGAGCATGTTCCAAAGAAAGGCTTGATTTTCTGGGAGCTGGTTCCAGATGAAAATTCTTGCAAGCAGGTGTCCATTCAGTTCGTTACTATGCCCCATGATTTCACGAAGCGCTTTACTTACAATGCGTGCGATGTTGAGAATCTTGGAGTCTCCGAGCTGCAGCGTGCAATCGACAAGATAGTGTCGGCAGTGCTGTCAAGCACCCTTAGCCGCCACAAGAAATCATCAAGTTTTGGCAGCAAAACTATCTTCACCATGATTCAAGTGCCTCCAGATGGCTATCGTGGCTGGCATTGTTTGAATGCAGCCCGGAATCTGCAGCAATATTTGAAAGTTCCAAGGCAGAAGAGTGGGTTTGCCGTCAACCGTCAAGTCCTTGACCAGGAAGCCTCAAGTGCAAAAAAGCTGCATTCAGAAACTTGCCAGAAGGCTTTCTATGAGGGGCGTGATTCAGAGAGGGCATCCATTCTTCAGGTGCTGAGCAACCCAGCCTTCGATCCTGCTGCTTTGGAATGGGTTTCCAGATCGTGCGGAATGTCGATTCGCTGTACATGCTGTCCTGAGGCCCGTTTTACTTTGGCATGTTCTATGTTTATTGTGTGATAGTTAATCCTCTCCACATGTACTTCTTTGCTATGTTCATATCTTTGCATTATATATATATATATGTGTAGTTAATCCGTTTAATCTCATTGTTGCGCTCGAGCATGTCTGACTATGCATACAAAACGAATATATGTATATATATATATACACACACCGTTTATAAACCCAGAATGGAAGATATCCTTCTCTTCAAAGCTCCTGCAGGTTGGAACATGCGATGACCAATTTCTGGACACGGTCTATGGTGATGGGGTTCCAGATGTTCATTTATATTTTCTTTTCCTCAAAGACCAGGAGGGACATGGAGTTGGACACTACTGTTTGCTTCACTTGCGGACTTCGGGTTTCAAGCCCAGTTCAACGGATATGGAGCTCTATGAAGAAGTTCCTTGCCGGCCTTAAACGCATAACATAGAACATGTGGTATTCAAATTCCCCTTTCCATGCTGCTGTGAGCCGTGTGGGCCTAACACCTTGGCGTGTTTGCTGAACTCTGAAAAGATCATTTTGATAAAATGAGCTTGGAACCTAGGTTTTGGAGGTTGTTGCATCACATCAATTCACTGGTGAAACCATGTTTATTAAGACCAGACTGGTATATGTATATACACATGCAATTAGGTGGACAATGCAAATATATATATATATGTATATA